TAGAGCCCCAGTAAGTAGTTCTTTACGCACAGTGAGCACATCGCACAGTTTTCGTTTATTCCGCCAGTATAGATATGTCATAATCGAGTATTCGCCGTCAACAGCGCATGACCTAACTGTCAAGAATTATAATTGTTTGTCCAATGTACAGTGTGTCCAGTTTTCGATGCTTTTGCATCATATCTCAGTTATCTTTAGAGATAGAACCTTGCGGTTTTCGCGGTCCTGTGCCACTTTTTTGTGAAATTCAAGATGGCCTAATCTGTTTCCGTTTATGAGATACAGGGCGATTTTGAAAATTTATACTTTTTGGACCCCCTATATATCTACGAAGTTTATCAGCGAAAATGTCAAATTAAAATCTTAACCCATAGAGAATTTTTTGCAGAATTCAGTGGCGCACAAAACATTTTTTTTCGGGGTGTGGTTTCGAAAATACGACTCAAACTCATGATTTTTTAAATTGAACACCCTGTATTTTATAGGCTCATCGAATTCCCTATTTTTTTCCCTTCAGAATGACTTATGATGTATGAATATAACATCTTCAAAAATGTTAAAAAATCACTAAAACATAGAATTTTAATAGTGGGCTATGGGTTTTTCGAGGGATTTTCATATAAAGAAATTTACAATTGAAGGAATATTTCTTTTGATTGATCCATGAAGGAAGAAATAACAATTTCAACACTAATTAACTTGCAATACACAAGACTCAGATACCTGACATCCACAAATATATAGTAATGAAAAGTTTATAATGTAGAATAAGCACCTGATTGAATATTAACTGAAACAATTGAATTTCGAAATTATTCAGTGATTTATTCATTGAATTGTTCAAATTGATGTCCATTTTTCATCACAAACTTTCTCAATACATATCAATCATTAAAAAATGTCTTTGTAATTCCTGGAAAACTGCCTCTGTTGTTGCACAAAGTTCTTCAAGTATGTTGGGCCACTCACTGTATTAAGAAGTATCGAGAAAGTTTGTCAACTGTATGTTGGTGAAAATGGATATCAATTTGAACATGTCAATGAATGAGTTACTGAATAATTCCGTAATTCAATCATTTCAGTAATTATTCAATCAGGTGCCTATTCTAAATTGTGAACTTTCTATTACTATTTATTTGTTGCTATCAGGTACCCAAGTTTAGTGTTTTGTTAATTAATAAGTGTTGATATTGGTTTTGACCTTTCCATGGAAACATCTTAAGAAATATTTCTTCAATTGGAACGCTTTTCATAAGAAAAATCCATAACCAACTATCAAAATTCAATATTTTAGTGATTTTGAGCAATTTTGAGAATTTTATATTAATTCGTTATATATCATCTTGAAGACAAAAAAATAAGGAATTTAATGAGCTTATGAAATACGGGGTGTTCCATTTAAAAAATCATAAGTTTGAGTCGTATCTCCAAAACCATACCCCGAAAAAACAAATTTTGTGCGCCACTGGATTATGCGTGAAATTCTCTATGTTATAAGATTTTGATTTGACATTTTTGTTGAGAAACTTCGTGGAGATAAAGGGGGTCCAAAAAGTATAAATTGTCAAACTCGCCCTGTATCTCATAAACGGAAACAGTCTTGCAAAATCTGATTAGGCCATCTTGAGTTTCACAAAAAAGTGGCACAGGACCGCGAAAACCGCAAGGTTCTATCTCCAAAGATAACTGAGATATCAGGCAAAAGCATCAAAAACTGGACACACTGTACTGTATGGTAGTAGGTATAGTATAGTACGTAATGCGTGTTGTGAAGCAATTACGCACTGCACGGCTTCGTGCGTAATTTCTTCATTCGTGCGCGATCTGCTTCATACAGCACATATTACGTAGGTAATATACCATTTTGTTCTTCAACATGTGAGATATTTTCCACCAGAACAGGTGAGAATTTACCTACGTTGACATTCATTATTCGAATGTTTTGCCTGACGTAGCTATTTGTCTTTCTTATTGTAGTACTTCCTGAAACGAAACCTTTTGCTCATCATGAAGCTTTGGAGCTTGGTCTTCGTCAAAATCATTGTAGGGTCACTGATATTGTACCGGCTCTCAGTTGCTGTATTTCACGAACAGCAAACTACAAGCGTCATCTGTGTATCTTGTGTGATTGATCTAAGGCCATGAAAGGAGTAAACGAAAATATGCGTGCAAGTTCGTTGATGCAATGCGTTGGTGACTGATTTTCTGAATGCACAAATAGGTTTTTCATAGTTTTTCTCAGGATATTCCGAATGTAACAGGATATATAATGCTATGGTTACTTGATATTCCCAAACTGCATATGAAAATGCATATCTACATGGAACAGTTCTAATAACTTAACCACGAACTTTCTTCACCAACCATCGATTGGAATTAATATACCCTAATAGCACACAACGTCCTAGGGACGTCCGAGCAAGGACGTCCAGGGGATGTCCCAGCTGGTACATCATTTCAAATGTCCTAGAAATCGCATTCCTTAGTCGTCCCACGTGGTACATATTGTAGAATGTCCATGCAAGGACGTCCTTGGCATGTCCCTGATGGGATATGATTTTAAACGTTCCTTTAGGGACATCCATCTGATGTCCCGAGTACTACATATTCTGGCATGACTTCAGATCTTATATAATGTCCCTTTTAAACAACCATGAAATGTCCCTGATGGTACATTCCTTCAAATATCTCTGCACAGATGCCCTTTCTATTTCCAGGATCGTATGACAATCGAAATGCCCCTCAGGGATTTCCGTCGGATGTCCCAATTGGTACATGAACTGTACTCTCCCAATGTCCTAGAAATAACGTCCTATGTACGTCCCAGTCGGTACTTTCAATATATTGTCCCTGCGAGGCCGTTTACTTACACCTCGCCGATGAATGATTGCTCGTAGGCAATAAGTACTCCTCGTCAATGTCCTTCACGTAAGTTCATTGGACATCCTTGGGAAACTTTTCGGGGACATTCTACGGACCATCAACTCAACCGCATGTCCTAATCAGTTATGCAAGATCTGGTCCTAGAGGGACCCAGAAAAATTCAAATTCAAGAATAATTCGTACGTCCCTGGGACATCCTATGGACATCCAATTGATATCTCCCAGCGTTGCTGATAGGTTGTCCTATGGATGTCCTAAGGATGTCCTAAGGATGTCCTCTCTGTAGTGTTTGATGAGGAATACTGTAGGATTCAGGTATTCGATAGTCGTCCCAGGGACATCCCTCGAGGTCGTCCATAGTTGGTCCTCAATTGGGACATTTGTGCGTCCCACAGGTCCAATGGACGTCCACGGTATCAAATTCAAACGTCTTATGGACGTCCTGAATGTCCCGACAGGACGTCCTAAGGATATCCATGGGACATAAGTGTGTTATTAGGGACCGGTACAATTAAGGTACTTCTGCGAGATGCTTATGGAAAGACAGCAACAATAGCAAATTCTATCAATGGATTTCGCAAATGTGGAATATGGCATGTTTTTTGGCAATTGATTCTGCTGCCTCAGATGCACTTCGTAACATTGATGAACAAAATCAAAATTGAAGAAATTCACCCCCAAATTCTTCAGAGAACAGCGGGAAGGAGAACAACGCGGATTCTGCAGAAGATTCTGATGACAACATTCCTCTGGCGTAGCTCTGTGATAAACATAGGATGCTCTCCTTAGTTCTCAATATGACTAGACGTGGTTCGAATTCCACAATAAGCTGTAGGTCCAGCTCTTCCTAACCCGGCACAAGTTTCAACTTCTTCGAGGTAGGGATATATAAAATTGTTATTTCAATTCGATAAAAGTGTTTCTCTTCATTTTCGTGTCAAATTCATTTAAATATCTGTATTGAATTAGGTCAGTACGAATAAGGAAACTCGGTACAATTCGGAAGACCTTCTAGTACAATCAAGGCAACTGGGTACCATTCGCAGAGTTATCGAAATATACCCGTCTGGAATATAAGAAAGTTAGTAAGTCAATTGAAAATAAGTCAGTATATCACATGAATGTTGGTTATGAGTTATACCTATCCCTTAGACGAATGCCTCAATGATCCTTGAAGAAATAAATTGAGAACTAAAAAGTGGTACAATATAGGCGACTTTACCCTATTCATATAGGTTGAATAGTCAATTATTGGAAATAGAAGCAAAAACAACTTCTCTTTCAATTAATAATTATGCCTGAATTTGACGAAAGACAATGCATTCGACAAATAATACTCCCCCAATATCTCAAATTTTCTGATCGTCAATATATATTCCAAGAATCATTGAGCTAAATTAATAAAGAAAAACAATACTAACGTCCATATCGATGTTGTTGTCATCGAAACCGATAACGAGTTCCCCATTCTTGATCATCTCAGCGTCCCTGTTCACAATTTTGGCGAACAGCAAATTCGCGAATTGGTCCCTGGTAAAGCAAACCAGCGACCCGAACATAAACTGCTTGGAGTTCTCGAACTTCAGCGCCCTCTTTTTCGTCGAGAAATCGAATTTGATGCGGAAGCATTTCAGCTCGTTGATGTTCTCTTCGGAGAGGAAGTGCACCTTCGGGTGGATTTTGATGTTATCATAGCGTTTCTGCGTGGGGTTATCCAGATACTGGCAAATGCCGTCTCTCAATGGTTTGACGAAATCCTCGCGGAGAAGCCTGAATTGCACGTCCAAGTAGTGATCGATGGACCTGGAAATGATCAGATTTTCAACCCACACAGCACAATGTCCAATGTACAGTGGAGCCCATTAAATTGGTAACGACTCGTGTGAAAATCCTTTTAAATTTTCGGTTTATGCGCCCGGACTAATATCTATTCCAACCGCCCGCTGTTTCAATAACTAATTTCTTATTGTGGTTTGTGATACGAGATAATCTGGTGTATCTCTGAATATTTTCTAAGATTTGGGGTAAATATTCACATCGCTAGAGTATCTCTGGATTCGATGGTATTTCTATTGATGAAATAAGAACTAATTCTCATCAGCATGCGCGATAAGAAAACGGTATACACCCTATTATCTTGAAACGCGATTATCTACTTCCGGAAATTCTAATTTTTAAGTATAATACTTAGGTGCAGATAAATTAGGAGTACAGGGTGATTGATTAGTTTGATGAAGTTCAACCTATATTATATTTATGAAATATCGTATGCATGTATATACCATTGAAATTATAATAAAACAATATTCAATTCGTTCTATATGAACAGTGCATGTTTAATTACTACAACTCTTCATCTCTATTTGATATCAATTTGTAGTTTCCGAGATCGATTTGTCTATAATATTGGATCTACACCAAACAGACAAAAAGCAACAAGAAAGAATTTCTTGTCGATATCAACGAATTTACTACTTTTCAGAGACATTTTAGAAACATTTTGAAAACAGGAGTCGCCAGCGACAGTTTTTGTTGTTTTCGGAGTCCCAGTCGCAGGCGGTAACTTGAAAGGGAAAAAGGGTTTTTGTACGACTACGGACACAGTCGGCTGGGGGAAAATAGGTCTCGACACGTATCTTGTTTTTTGCAGTTTGCAGTTTGTGCACATTGTGTGTTTTTCGTTAGTCTATCTATTTATTTATTCATTATGCATTTGAATATATACCTACCAATCTCTTTCAGAATATGACTGAAAAAAATAAAAAGTGGAAAACAGAAGAGGTCGTCATTTTGATTGGAGCTTACCTCAAACATGCTAATTCATGGAACCATACAGCAAAAACATGGGGTATGAAAACCGAAATGGAAAAATGGATGCGTACAAGTATAACGACTCTAATCTATGGTACAAGGAAATTGGTTCCTCATTCAACACAACTACACCCGAAAAGATCATATTGTCTGAGTACCAACGCGAAAGACGAAACTATAAAAAAATTTAAAAATCGGGAGCCAGTCATGTTCTTTTTCAGAGAATTCATAATAAGCCCTCCACCCCAAGATGTGATGAAGAAATCTGCCCAGTGGAAATGAGTGAAAACTTAAATGGAACTAGAAATCTGTTTGAGTCCGTTCAGTTGCAACAACGTTTCTGATATGTTGCTGCTTTGTCGGTTTTGTTGGAGTTTCCATTTTTGGAAACAAAACAGCGACTCGAAGTGTCTGTTTGGTGGAAATCCGCCATAAATACTTGAATTCGTGAAAAAATAATACATGTCGGTCTGTCGATTGACACTTCCTGGAAATTAACAAACACTTGTAGACCAATCCCTTCGGAAGCTTAACTCTAATTCATAGAGATTTGTGGTTTGTGATTCAATCTATGCCAAATCGATTGAGAAAAGTTATTGTATACACTAATGTATCCTCAACTTCCTATACTAAATACTGACAGTATTCGACCGCAGCGTAGCACTTTCGATTGAACCTGGAGTAAGTAATACTTCCATATTCATAATGGACCATCACACAATTTTTCATAATCTCGACTCATTTTCATTATTCTATGATATAAACCGTGATACATTTTTCAATTCATATTTTGAAGCGTTCACCTTTGATATTTTTTTAAAATGTATTATTTTTAACAGTGACATTTGAACATTCTGATTGGAATTTCATTGCCAGATAGAGATTCATTCAATTCAAATTTTTATATACAGTGTGTCCACTGCAAGAGCTTACCACCCCTGTTACTATAATAATATGATAGAATCTGAGAACAATGTATTTGTCCATCCAACCAGAAAATTATTTCATTCTTGAACTGTTTTCATGGCCAACGGTGACCAATTTCATTGACCCAAATTTCAAAAAGTACTGAGACAGTTTTTCACTAAAAATATCGATGGATTTTGCAGCAGGATCATTTAAAACATACCGGTACCTATTTTCATTATCTTAAAACACAAGGTGCCCCAAAAACCGATTTATTATTTTTAAATACTTCATCAGAAAATGTAGTATACTATGGCATTACTGGGTAATGACAAATTATTATTGAGAACTACTTCAAACATTACTGTAAAATGTGGTGTTCTATCAGAAATAAGGGAATTCAATTTACTTCCCGTATTCGGAAGTGTGCTTTGCCAGATTTACCCTCGGATTTACCCAAGATTTTTGAGAGATTCATTCAACTCATCATAATTTTGAAAATGAATGGGTTACCTGAAGATACCTGAAATTATATAGTTCAGCACTATATCTTTTATCATTTTATTGGAATTTTATCGATCGTTTTCTCCTGGTTATACAGGGTGTGATTTAATTGATGGTTACTGATAAGGGACATGGTTCCTTACTTCATTTTGAGAAAAAAGTTCATGTGAACATATGCCCTGAAACTTGTTGTAGACAGTATATTGAAGTTATTATGATGAAATAATTTTTGCCTGAGAATTCCAACACCCTATAGTTCGAGAGCTAAGAGGTTTGATTATTCAACTGTGGATTGTTGAAATTTACACATTCTTAAATCCCTTCATTTCAAGATTGGATGCTTGTTATGATAATATTATATCGTTCTCATCAAAACTAAATCATTTTGAAGCAGTCCAGATCAACTCCTATTTATTTCATTGTAGTTGCCAAGAAAGAACTATGTCATTGTTATTTTTCAAGTTTGAATAATAATTATAACACCTCTGGGTATACTGCTCGGTATACCCTATATAATACCTTTACAGCGCAAAGCAGGTCATAAAATGCTAATGAGGGAGGCAGCTCGTTTCTAGAAAATGAATAGTACATGTGCTTAGACAAAAATATTTCAATTCGCCCAAAAGTCGTTACCAATTTATTGGGCATCACGTACGTTCAATGTACGTCCACTTCGGATCGTGAGGACGTCCGATGGACGTTCTTGAATGGACGTTCAACGTCCAAAAGATGTCCACTTGATGTCCTGAGAACACCACTTTGGACGTACAGTGGATGTATATAATTGGACGTACAATGGATGCTCATCTTTGTACTCACAATGGATGTCGATATCTGAGCATCCATTGGACGTACCAAATTGGACGTTGAACGTCCAATGGACGTTCATTTCCAACAAACATTCATTTGTGGTGAACTGAAGGCCCAATACATTACTCCCATAACTAGAAGTTGCGGCAAAATAGCTAGCGTCGGTACGGGACCATGAAGAAAATGACACTCGGGCGACGGTCAATCAGTCGGCATTTATTCCATTGATGAGCGTCATTACACTTTTAGAATTGAAATGATTTCAAATAGATATTTAGTCTAAACAATTCTTCATAAAAATACTCATTCATTCTTCAAACTTTGAACGGCCGTAATATGAACATTTAATGGACGTTCAATTTGTATCATCCATCTGTCAGTTTGGCATGAAATAATGATGGCTGTACTTGTCAACATGAATCATTTATAATAAATGCGTTGTATGCTTCGTGAACGTGAAATAGTCTAGCAAATTACACTATCTTCTCATAATAATGTATTTCATTGTTAACTTGTACAGCAATACCGTGCGTGGCAAAATTCCGTAAACAAGAAGCGACAGAACCATCCCGAATATTCAGAACATCGTGATACCTATTACTTATGATAATCAAATTGAGTGCAATCATCAATCACTATGACGACATGATTCAGTTTGACAACTTGAAAACACCTTCCGCTGAATATCCCTCGGACATTGACAAATATGCCTCATAATTTTATGACAACTTTCTCAAGCTCGTTGCTCGCTATCACTACTGAAAATGTGTTAAACATTTTATATCCGCTATAGATACATAAAACAGTTTCAATCATTCTTTTCGACGGTAATATAATGACGTCTTGTATACACTACTACACTTCTCCCAAAAATCAACGCACCACCAAAACATACCCAAATTTTTAAGGTAGATTTTTGTCAAAAGTACTTGTCCGATTTGGACGTTTTTGGTTTTGAGTGACACGTTATCTCCTTCTGAACAATGGTGTGCAATTTGTATTCGCATAAAAACCTCTTCACTATGAATACCGGGTGTAGCAATTGTTGCGTGTTTTTTTCATATAGTTTGTTAAACCCTGTAGAGTGCAACAGTTACATTATCAAGTTAGAATCATTGTTACACTTTAGCTTCATCTTTCTTCGACATTCCTTTCTGGAATTCACTCCATTATCTTCCCTATTGCTCCAGAAACACCAAATCAAAGCATAACATGATTTTATTGTATTCAATATTCATCCGTGTGGTGGTCGGATTAAAATAACCCCGCCAATAGTTGGAAGATGGTTAACGCCATCGCCTGGTGCGATACCACCACATCAACCATGGGCACTGTGAAATGGGTATACTTACCCGTGTTTCAGTAGCTGGTTGATGTTCCGGACAACCCAACCCAACCTGTAACCTGCACGCCTATGGGTTATATATTTTGTATTCTTTTTATCTACGTAGTTGTGTTCTATTTTAGGTTGTTGTTTCGTGGTGCGCGCGGAAGCGGTGTGACGGAGACGTTTGGTGGGAAATGATGACATGAATGGAATGTAGGGGAGAGAGACAGTGTATGCTGTCGTGATGATCATCGGCCATTGTTGGTGTTCAAGCGGATCGGAGGATCGCCGAGGCAGTCGAGCAAGAGACAGCGATTGAGCTGGTAGCGCTCGATATACCATTGGTACCTAAGTATTTCACTAATTCCGGCTATTCGATACCTCTGGGTAGAAGTATACAGTCTATCACGAGTATCCGTATCAAAGTATAAGTAGTAGTGTTGGC